CATCTCGAGGGCTCTGGTGGGGGCCTATAGCCTCCCCATAGACAGCGCCTGTGGAGCTCGGTGCATTGGCTGGAGTGGAGGCTATAGCAACACCATGGCACCTACAGAGAGCCTGCGCTTTCACAGGAGGCCCCATAGCAACACCACGGCCCCTACAGAAAGCCAATGCCTTATGGGGGGGGTTCAATGTGCATGTGCATATCAATACTACAGCACCTGGAGAGAGTCAGTGACCTACTGGGGGGCCTATAGTTACATCACAGCATCTATAAGAGAGCCCCTGCTTTGACATGGTGGCCTAATAGCAATGCCACAGCAGCTATAGAGAGCCCACGCTTTTACAGGGGGCCCTATAGCAATACCTCAGCACCTATAGAGACCCAATGCCTTGATGGGGGGCCCTATAGCAATGCCAAGGCCCCCAAAGAGAACCAATGCACTGGCGCTGCAACAAGGGTTGTATAGCAGCATCCCAGTGCCTATAGAGAGCCCGGGCCCACCGGTACCTACCCCCTTCCATGTCTTCTGTCCAGTTGCGGCTGCTACTCGTGGGTGAGTTGGACGAGGTGTAGTACTCTCCCCCCGGGCTCGTGTCTATGTCGTCCTCCATGGAGCCAGACTTGTGCCGTTTGCTCCTGGGGAGGTGGAGAGTGGGGAAGGGTCAGGCTGGCATGTCGCCCTGCCCATCACCCCCCCCTTTTTTTTTACCGGGGGTGGCAGCCCGGGGGGGCCAGGGTTGGGAGCCACGAGCGCCAGGGACGCTGGAGTCGGCATGGGCCCCGGGCATAGCCCCAGCACATCCTGGGGCGAGATGGGGCTTGACCCTGGCAGGGCTTTGCACGCCGGGGCTGCACTGGCAGGCACCGAAGGGGCCAACTGCCAGGTGCCGGGGCATCTGCCCCTGCCTCGGCGCTCACCGTCGCGGGCTCGGCCTGCAGAGCTTTAAAGATGCTTAATGCAACTATATATAAACCCAACCTGGCGTGCGACTCTCCCGTTCTTGGCCCGGCAGCCAGGTTAGTGCTAGTTTAATGGCTAATGGGGCCTTCTCTGATGGGGGAATGCTCTCCCAGGCCACGCTCTGCTCTCCGGCATCACAGGCCCTATCCTGCCCAGGGTGGCACCTTGGCCTCCCCCCGCACTGTCCCCACATGCCATGGACCCCTCCGGCCCCTGCCGTCCTGCCAGCTCGGGAAGCCCAGCCCTGCAACCGCCCCTGGGGCGCAGCGTGGGCTCTAGCAGAGGCAGGCGGG